GCAGGTTTAAAACTAGTGGTTTATATTGCACTTATAGTGTAGTACCTTTCTATCTAGAACTTTACAAACCTTGATAACCTGGTTGCACTATTAAAACTTGAAAAATGTCAAAGGTAGTAAGCATTTTGGTAAGTATGTAAATTGGTATCTGTAGCTGTAAACAAGAAGTCATTGTAGCATCATAAGCTGTAGCATTATCTTCCTATTTGACATCTTTATTAAACATTTTATGAAGTGTCATGTCAGCAATGTTGACCATATTTCACCATGTTAACGTTTAATTTGTCAGAAGTTAAGTTAGCTATATAACAGTTACGGCGGTTTCTAAGTGTAGATATTCACTAACAAGTCATCTGTACGTAAAAGAATTGCTTGTGTAGTGCAAGCTCTTTTAATTTCAGGTTTAAAGTTCCAATTTTGTTATAACTAAGCCAAGTTTGAACTGGTGCTGGAAATAAGATAATGAAGAATCACTCCTCTCACTTTCTTTTTCTCTTTCCCTTTCTCTTTTTCTCTTTCTTTTTCTCTTTCCTTTTCTCTCTCACACACACTGTGGCTTCTAAATTTCCTGGCATTTCACTACATTACGCATTCACAATGACTGCGGCAGATATTTTGGGCTCATGCACTAATGTAATTTGCAGGAGGGAAGAGGAATAAATATTTTGTCAGGACCTTGTATTGTGTGACACAGATTAAGTCTTTAGCTTGTGTGGCAGTGAACCAGATCAGTGTTTGGCATTTTGTTTTTTGTCTCCTGGTTAACTTTGATTACATTCTGCGGAGCGTTGATCCAAACAAAGAGTGAGCCTCTTGTTGGGAGAATAATTCCTGCCTTGTTCCTACCCATCTGCAGAGAGGCCCAGCTACTAAGCAGAAAGGCATTTAGATGGAAATGGGCTGAACCAAACAGAATCAGACGGGAATGTCACATCAATTGATCCATGAACTTGTGCATATGCTGAGTTGACAGATAAAAGGCTGCAGTTTTAATTATTTCGGTGCCTAAACCATATTGGTTGGAATGATGCAGCACAGAAATGGATGAAGTCTGGCTGCAGCAGAGCAACAAGTTACAGTATGTGTATCGGAGGGCCTTTTTGAAATACTTAAGCTCCTGCCCACTTCCCGTTATTCTTTAACACTTGACATAGCAATAGCGTGAATGAGGAGTAAAAGTGTTGCATGACATTCCATTGAATAAAGTAATGTCCTGTACAGATTACAACCTGGTCTGCATGTGAAACTCCTCTATAACTCTTGTGTTGTGGTACTCACACCCAAACTACTTATCTGTGATGCAGAGCTTTGATATTTATTCAGTTTCACTCAGCAGATACTCACTGACCTTCTAAAATGGGACATACATGGTCTATTTGGTGGTAGGCTACATTGTCCATATATGGAAATGATCAAGAGGCCTGTTTGTTCTCCCACTAATAAACTTTGACAAAATCAAAATGACCAAACTTTCTTTTTTGCAACATCCGGTGTTTGTTTGTTTTGGCTGCAGGAGCCATGTGAACACTGATGAGTGTGATTTGAACCTGAATAACGCCAGAAATGTATTACATTAAAACATTACAAATCAAAACCAGACGAGCTGGCAGTGATGGAAACACTGATTGTGTCCAGGGCAAGCCCCTGAGATTCATTTGCAATTATTCCTGATTCCCTCATGTCTGAGCAGCATTGTTGCCAAGAACATATTAGAAAGGAGGCAATGTTGCCATATAGCTGATTTGTTTTTTTTTGTTATGTGTAAATAGCACCGTTGGCACTGTGTGTGTTTCAACAATACCCAGACAGACAGACAGTTAGTCACACTGAGCCAGCTGATTGTGGTTTGGGCTCGGTCTCAGTCTACGTATTAGTGCACTGGGGCCCCCACCATATGCTTATAGAGCTATGGGTCTAAGTCTAGCACACACATACAGTGCATTAAATGAGCACACACATATGTAGATGCACACAAAAAAGTAGCAGCTCAGATGCCCTGCCCAGTCTGTGGAAGCAATTTAGACCACAAACTATGTCGTAGTGGGACTTGTGCCATGGAGTATTTTTAGTGTACATATTGGATTTGGGAACTTTGTGTGTGAGTTTTAATATATTATCAGGCGCCAGGCTGGCACTCAAGGCTGCTTTTACTTAAAATATGAAATTAGTGTAGTTTATTAGGCAACACTGATACTGTAAAGGAACTATAATATTGGACTGTTTCTTTCAAATGTGGCCTCACAGTAGTATACATCATCAAACCACAAGTGGACACACCCAGATTCTGCCAGGCTTTATTCCTCTCTGCTTCAGACCACAACACCCTCTGAGGTAGTTTATGAGAAATACAGATGTCTGGTTGATTGAAAATAAACAGAGGCGGCACTGAAACATGAATGTGCCTTAACCGAATTAGTCCTACACACATACCATATCCCACAAGATTGGTAATCAACTCATTTGGAATGGAGTTGTACTTTCAAGCACACAATGAGACAGGAGCTTGACTGAGTTTCACCTCATAATCATTGAGGAACATCTATCCATCAAAACATCCACAAGCATGCGTGAATATTCTCTCTCTCTCTTCTCCCTTTTTCTGTGTTTATACTAAAGCTGTGCCTTTGAACAGCCCCATGGCTGTATCCCATTACATCCAGAGGGATGAGCTGAGTGTTGGTATGGTGAGCAAGAAAGCAGAGAGGGGCCTGTGTATGATTCTAATCAATTCAGGCCTCGGCCGTAGCAAACACTCTCTAATAACTTCTGTAGATGGATCCGACTTGTGAGGGAATGCAAACCAGATCGCTTAGGAAATTCCACGACGCTCTCTTTGCAGAAAAAGCCCCTTTTCTGAAGGAATGTGCGCTAACATTTCCCCTCAGCTCCCTGGTCTCCCACACACACAGCTGCCCTTCAGAGAGTCACGCCAGAAGAGCACAGCCAAGCTGGCCGCTGGAGAGGCAGAGAGGGAAAAGAAAGAAAGAAAAGAATGAAAGAAATAAGAAAGAAGGAAAGACATAACAGCTAATGGCTGCTCTCCCAGCTGCATGGGGTCTTACACATATAAACATGTCAGGAGAGGTTGGGTCAAAGGACGGAGCTGATGAAGAGAGGGAGATTGAAGGGGAAAATAGGAATAAGTAGCCCAAAGTGGAACTATAAAGAAACGAAATACTGAGATAAGGAGAAGGAAAATCCATCTGGGCAGATAGATGTGTGAGGAAAGAAAAGAAAATGATAGGCGAATACAGAGAGGGAGAGTGGGAGCAGGAGGAAAGGGGTGTTGAAGGAGGAGAAGAGGCAGAGCTGAGACGTTACTTAAAGTAGCCTCAAGGTGATGGATTGTCTGAGCAGTTTGGCAGCACCATCCATCAGGTGAGGAAGAGGTGGTGAAAAGAAAGGTTCAGATAAACACAATGACACCAAAATCACCAACAGCAACACCTTCAGAATTATAGAAATTCAGAGGTGGCAAAAGTACACACATTTTTTACTCAAGTATAAATAGAAGCACTGATTTAACTTCATTACTCAAACAAGAGGGAAAAAGTACAGGCTCTGAAATGTACTTATACTACGTATAAAAGTAAAAAGGATTCTCTTGGTTTCTCTGAAGGACATTGCTACCAGCCTTTTCTGTGCAAAGCTAACTGAAACTTCAAAGTTTTCCTCATGTTGTTTTTGTCATGTTATGTCTCTTGTGTGCAATGTGCGCTGGTCTTGATGTTGGAAAGGTGTGCAATGATGCAAAAACTAATAATAATTCCCCTCAAATGTATTAATCTAACTAATCATCCTGTTTGAAAATGTAACGAGTAGAAAGTACAGATATTTGTGCCAAAATGTAGGGAATAGAAGGAAAAAGTTCTCAGAAAAATAGACAACTTAAGTTGAGTAATGAAGTATTTGTACTTTGTTGCTTCCCACCTCTGGAAATATTTCATACTCTTTGAAAAAGTAGAGGTTTTCCTTTCGGTAAACTTTGTGTGACCTGCTGAGTGGTGAACCACAGGCAGAATATCTGCACCACCAAGTAAAGTTAGTTTATCCTATGGATGAAGGGAGATTAAGATGTTACTCCTAAAGCATGGCAGCCATTCAACATGCATTTTTTCCACCATATGACTCAGCCATACAGTCTCCACTGTCGATCCGACAACCCAGTGCCCACAGCTCGTCCTCTCACTAAAGACCTTCAGGATTCAGTACAAAGTGGTGTTTCTCTTCAGAAGACTGCAGATCTATAAATCTAAAAAATCGAACCATTTCTAAGCCTCAGACACTGTACAGTGAACCAGATGTTACTGACATTTTATGGCACTTGTGGGATCTGGGAGAACAGTGTTTGGAGATATGAAGTGATATTAGTGAGGATCATTTTCTTAGATACTGTACAAGAAATATGAAATGTCTATGAGTTACTGTCCTGAGCAATCCAGACACATGGTAAAAAGCTCTGTAGAGTCTTTTTTTGTCCTAATCCTAGAGAGGAAACAATTTTCTGTGTTTAAATTGTATTATTCAAAAACAGTCTGGGACTGCATCAACAAAGTCTTTGGGTTTAGCAGAGGAACTTAGTCTACATTTTTCTTACATAGTTTTCAATCTTTATTTGGATTTCTCTGCCCGGTGTGCATGGCGGGAAAATGGGTCAAGAAAGGAAAAGAGAGTGGTGGTGGGGGGGAGTGGGGCCCACTGGTCCCTCAACATCCCTGTGTTGAATATGAAAATATATTATAGCATAATGTGTTCAGTATGCAAGCTTGAAGGAAACCATATGAAAAGATCCCAGACAAAGAGCCTTCTGTGTTCCAACTGACCCCCCTCCCACCCCCATCCTTCGTCTGCTTCATTTGAGAGAGAGAGAGAGAGAGAGAGAGAGAGGAGAGAGAGAGAGAGAGAGAGAGAGAGAGAGAGAGAGGAGAGGTAAAAGGGGGAGGTGTGTGTGCAGAGTCGTAGGAGCTGAAAAGGGGCAGTACAAACACTCGCTGCCTCACACAGCCAGACCCACCGGAGTACAGGTGAGCAGCATGACTAAACCAACACAAGCCAAACAGGAAGGAGCACTGGAATTTTATCTGTCGCTGTGAAACTGTGATTGCTGCAGACTTTGTCACCTGCAGCCTATTATATTTATCTATACGGGGTAAGACACTATCTTTGTTTAGAGAGAGAAAGAGAGAGAGAGAGAGAGAGAGAGAGAGAGAGAGAGAGAGAGAGAGAGAGAGAGAGAGAGAGAGAGAGAGAGAGCAGTGGGAGAGCAGTGAACTGAAGCAGAAGAGGAGGGAAACTTTGAAAGTCTTTGTCTGAGTAGATGACAAACATCTGTGGCCGCTGTTTTTCCCTCGGCGCAGGCTGCAGACTTGCCGAAGGGGGGTTCTGCTGGCTACATTAGCATTGTGGTCACTGATATCTGAGCCTATTGTCCTGACTGTGTGGTGCCTGCTGTGTAGCCAGGTTATAGACTTGAACTGCACCATGTAACATCAGAAGGTGTATCCAATTAAAGACCTGGCTGGAGCTGTGTTGACTTACATATATAAGTAATTGCTTCCTGTTAACACAACAGGTGAGGCCCATTAACTGCTTTACAGGGGGGGAACTGTAGGTTTTGTTCAGCTAAATATGTTCACTAGCCCTTTAGTTTTCTTTGACAGAAGACACTTTGAAACTGTAGAAAACTGTTTTGTCAAATGTCTTAATGTGTAGAAAATAACAATATCAATATCAATCAATACCATTCGACAAATATTTCCTGCAGTATTGATATTATATGCACACGTTTCCATTTTTAAAAGTGTTTGTACTTTTTCTCTTTGATGTCTAACAGTTTTCAGATTATGACTCTGATTGTTTTAGAAGGTTCCTCCCTCTTGGCACCAGATCACACACACCTACTTCAAGTATTTATTTTGCCTCCTGAAGTTCTCCACCTGTGACTATGAGAGCAGGATGAGTTGCACATGAAGCAGACTCCTCATTACAAGGTTTCCCTCTCTGCATGATTCGATGCATGATTCCCACAAGTGAAAAGAGAATTAGAAAGAAGGAGACATGTGTTACATTTATTGGGAGTCTGTGCCTTGCAGTGTCAGTCATCAGCCAGCACAAGCCGAGGCATGTTGACTATCACAGCCTCCTGAGGAATTATGAACCCGGAATGCCAATTTTGGAGCACTACCCAAAATTATTTCGTATCTGCAAGGGCCTGTGAATGGTTCTTTGTCTGAGCGAGAGAGCGAAGGGCCCTGCTAAAGCCTTGAGCATTTACAGCTGAATGATTTTTGCTTACAAAACTGTAAAAGACCCGGGCAAAAGACAACAGATAGCAACCACATAGCAGCTCTGCCCCTGAGGTATTCAGTCATAAAGGATTGCCAGTCAATGTCGTGACCAGATGCCTCCTTATGTGCATGGTAACTGATACACTTTTAAGTCTTACAGGAGGTGGAATGCACGCTCACCTGACATCCTCACATCTCACATACCTCAACACATGTGCGCCCAGAGCAACTGATGATGTACAGATGCCATACCTGAGGTTAACATGCATGCAGTGTATGAGTTATTAGGTGGCTGACATGCTTTCTACAAGTTGACTATTGATGCAGATGTCTAATAAATGTACAAAACAACGGCCATGAGGGACAAATGAATGATTAGAGTTTGTGCGCCTGCCAAAGCCATTTATTTTGTGCATCATCACTATGTGAGACATGCTGCAGAGAGCTGTGGGATAGATTTGCTGTCAATGTATGAATCCATCATATGTTGATGATGTACAGGAACTCTGTGATTACACACTAAAGTGGCCTCCGGGCCAGACTGTAAATGATATCCTTGGCTCTAATCATGGAGGTCAATGGGTGGCAGAGGAAAACGGTGTGGGTGTGGGAGCTGAGCTGGACAGGTGGGCACTGTAAAATAACTTTTGAACTTCAAGGTAATTGGAGGGCTTAGAGGGGAGGAAAGAAGGAGAGATGACATCAGATCTTAGGTATGGTAAGTAGATAGCATCAGTTGGAGTGGGGTAGATACAACACCCAAGCTGGATATTAACAAGCTGGGACCAATGAAAATAAAAAATAAAAAACAGATTGTGGCAGATGAAGATTTCAAGAAGTCCATATGTCTGTGTTTTGTTTTTTGAGCCAGAGTTAAGCCTGCATCCCTGCTCATGTCAGTTTTGAATAACCTACATCTGGTTCTTTAATTAATTGCAGTTAATAAATATTTGCAGACTGAAACAAAAACAGTAATCAAACCATATTTTAATCAATCGATTACAGCAGTGTTAGGACGTGGCCTCAACATGTGCTGTTCTCATTGATTACGGTAAACATGAAATCGTAAAACAACAAAGAAAACTGTGAATGAAGGACACGCAGCAAGATGAGGGACTAATCTAAAAAGACAATGTCAGCATCCAAACGAGCTCCAGATTGATCCAAACACATCTGCGGGAATCAAAGAGCCGTTGTCACAGTGTCTAAACAGTATCGGCCTTCATCTCACTTGACACAATCACGCCAGTAAGCTAAATTGTGGAGGATTCTTGTTGCTTTTCAGCAGGGAGGTGGGGCAGTGTTTTGTTAGGGTTGATTGTGTTCAGGGGCCAATGAGCAGTCCTCCTACAGACTGTCATGACTCAGCTGTCATGTCGGAGAGCGTCTCCGCAAAACACACACAGAGTCTTGAAGGGAAGAAAACAAGTTCATGGTGCTTGCACACCTCCAGGAAAGATGAAAGCGAGCATGGTTGCTATGCCTCCAAGGAATCACTGAAAAGACATTTCAAAAATAATGACTATGTGTGTAGTTCTCTGCACAGCCCTCCCACTCCTGAATGTTACAGTGGTGACTCTCTAGCAAAAACAAACGCAACCATGATCTGCTTCAAGGAGAGGCAAGTCTGATCAAGGACAAGGACATGAAAACACTGGTTTATTATTACAAACTTTGCCAGTGGGTCGTATTAGCTTTGAACATGACACTGCTGATATAATGAAATATTTTATCGGATAAGAGGGAAGGATGCGATAGATGTCACTGTAGGACATTCAAATCTTTGTTTCCTTGATGCTGAATGGAAATCTTTAATCCACATTCACGTCCTTTGTATTCTGTATCACATCACAGACCCCGAGGCAGAGATAAAGCTAATTTTTTGGCAGGTTTAATATAAATAAATTCCTACCTTAAAGCCTTAATAAATTGTGACCTTCCTTCCGTCTTTGAAGAAAACACTGAGTTTATCACGTTCAGACTTTTAGAAAGGCGTCTCCTCATTTCCTTTTCCACCCTCTCAGCCTGACAACAGTTCGAAGGGCAAAGGCTGATCTTAATTTTTGAAGACAGAGAAATGGACTTTCATTGTCTCGAAAACAAGACATATGTGGAGACTTGCTTTTTGGAAGTAATCCAATGGTCATTAAAATGATTAGATGGGCCAAGAAGACTATATTAAAATGTTCTTCAAGCCACTTTCTCAAAAACCCATTCCAATTTCTAAAAACTGCAAACACTCTGTCTGCACAAAGGTCAGGTATTTTGGACCGCTTTCTCAAAACCATCACGGATAATACTTTAAATCCTGTACAAAGCAGTGGGTTGAAACTCGTGCCATAACACAAAGGGCAATGATGGAAAATCGAGTAGGATTCTTGTACCAGGTGTTTGCCAAAGCTGTGGTTTGCCAAAGTTGTGGGTAGATGTAACTTCCAGCTTTTGTCTTTTCAAATGTCAAATTTAAATAATTGAAGAAAAGATAAATTGAAATGGTTTTTGCATCATTTTTTTTTAACCAGCATATTTCTCTGTTTACAGGTGGTTCTGTGCAGAAAATGGACACAGAGAAGGATTAGATAAAGTACAGCAAACTTTCATCCCTTGATCAGTCCCTTTATCTACATCTTAAACTTGGTCCACCACACTAAAACAGTTACTGACTGACTGAACAATCAGAACACAGCAAATCTTTTCTTTCTTTTTCCACTAAGTATTAATCAAAACTACCAACAGAGGAAATAACAATTTTCTCCCTAAATTGTGGTTTTGTGAATAAACAAAAGAAAGAAATTGATTATCCAGCTTTCAGAGGCTGTATCTGGCTTCAATGTATAAGAAATAACACAGGAAACCAGAAAAAAAGCTACTTTAATTGAATACATTGGAGCTCTGAATACAAACCGGTCTCTGCAATGACCTTTCCAGAGTAAAATGTTATTCCTTACATGCACCTAACAGCAGGAAGCTGCCATATACACAGTTCCCCTTCACGTCACTGTAGAGTTATGATCTCCAAGATAAAGGGCAGATCCTTTTCTCCGAAAGAAAAATAATCTGCGGGCTGGAGATTGGGATGCAGACGAAAAGCATGTTTTGGTGACCAAAATAGCAGAGGAGGAAGAGCAACGTCTGGGAAAGAAAAAAAGGAGTATTAGAGAGATGCAAATAGAGAAGACTGGACTGTTTCTCATACCCGTTTGCCAGATTTTTAACAGAGCACAACAAACTTGTGCAATTTCGTGGCAGTTGTCCATGGGAACTCATCCAAGGCACATTGGAGCTGACCCTCCTGGGAGGTCCTGTTAGATAGAGAGTAATACTTCATGAAGACCAAAGTAAGAGCGCACTTCTTCCGTCAAATTTGGGCTGACTACAGGACAACATTTGGAAGGATTACTGCTGAAAGGCTGAGCTCCTCCTTTCCTTGTCCCTTTTTGTGTGTTTTCTTGTATTTCGAAATGTATTCACTGCCTGCCAGCGAGGACTAAAACTTCCATTTTCCAAGTGGACCAACAGTTTCATCTTATCAGGAGAGACGTTTGAGCTGACCGGAACGAAACACTCACATATCCCCCTGCTGAGAGCTTTTGTTTCTGCTGCAGCAGAAGCATTTTACTGCGGGAAGCAATGGAGATGGAGAAGGGACATATGCCTATCAGGAGAGGGGTGAGCTGGAGTCCAGGAGGGTTGAGAAAACCTCTACAGACAACGCAAAACATGCACACCCCTGAGACAGAGTGCAATGCATCATGGGAGAAGACAGGATTCAACAAAGAACAGATGAGCCGGAAAACAAGTAAGTGTTTGTTTATCTGGAGTTTTATGTCCTTATTTGGGGAGCCAAAGCAGCAGCAAGAATGTGTATTATTACTCGATTATGTGACTTCATAATGTAATAGAAATGTAGTAAATACATTTCCAGTGGTTCGTTTGTAGTGCTGCCTTAATGCAACAGTATGGCTTGAACTGCAGTATATCATCATATCAGAAAACCTATAACTGAGTAGAGAAGATAACAAATAGAGAAAACAGACAACCCTACCTCATCAGTGCAACTTGACACTGTGAGGTTCTCCATGAAACATCTGTTTCCATGCAGTAAAACTACAAGCTGCCCCAACAGCAGTGGAAATGCAGTCATGCATCACTGCTAAAGGGAAGGCTAACACACAATAATGGGCTAACTTGTGGCAAAAGCTGTTTGGGAACTTCTTCAGACATTTCTGTTTACTTTCACAGCTGTCAACATACAAACTCTGTAATAACACCAAAAAGTTATGTTGTTAAATGGCAATATGTAAAAACACTGAAACAATACTCAACTGGAAAGATAATCACCTTGGGGCTGCGACAAGCCTGCTGGCTGCAGTATTCAAAGAGAGTGAAAAGACATTGTGCTATGCATAACAGAAAGGTCATGGCCATCAGATAATTGTCCCTGATATAGATCTATAGCCTCTGTAGCTCCAACACTGTTCCCATCACTCATTACTCACTAATTGGTTTCCTCAAACGGAGCAAAGATCACCCAAAACAACACAAAAGCACAGTTAATAGTCAACTACACCTCTGCAGAGACCTTTCACAACACACAAAAGTAACAATATGAGCAACAGGGCTTGGTTTCCACCTCTGCTCTGGTCTTTTATTTCCCCCAGGGGATCCATTGAGAGTTTAGGTCACATTCAGTCCGGTAAGATCCCAGGACCTCGGTTAATCCTTGTCTTTCCATACCGCTTCACACATCACCCACGGGGGCCGGTGCTGTCATCCCGCTCACCCCACAGCCATCGCCCGGAGAAAGATAACATCCGACAGGGTAATCTGACCTTTGATACACAAATGCAGGGTTGGCCCCCTGACTTAAATCCTCCTGCTGTGGGGGAGTTTGCCGTCTGCTCTCACCCACGCAGGGATGAGGGGATGGGACAGAGAGCAGGGGGATGAGTTAGAGAAAGTTAGGAAGGTAGGAAAAGGGGGTGGGGGGGTGGACAATGATGTGGAGGCTCTTGCATCATTGCCTGGGGCTGAATTTTTGTCTCTGCTGGAGGACAGGAAATTCCTATCCTGCCCTTGCAGGTTGGAGTTTAAGGCCCAGAGGGTTCAGAGAGGGCAGACACTTGGTTAGAGGGAGTGTGTGCACAATAAACACACACACTTACAAGGTGAAATCCAGACAGACACGCAGAGGTCAGGTGCTGGATCTCTGGAGTCTCAGTGGTCTAATCCATACACACATCTGGACTATCTCTTGTCTCCCTTTCCACTTCAAGGGCTGCAACAAGGGTCAGGCACTTCCCTGCCATCACAGGACATTAGACAGAGATAAGCTGCTCAATACTTGCCATTGATTGGACACCTCTCCAGAACTGTCAAAACAAAGTCTAGTCTGTGTGCAACTGCTACAACATCAATACTTTCGCAACAGAAGCCCAGAGCTCGTTTCTCAGAGGCATGTCTGCGATTTTATAATTAGTGGAAACCCCGTGGAGGTGGTGTTGGTGCAGCAGATTTTTGAAAAAGTGAAACAGACCCGGAGGCTGAATGACAGACAGCACAGCCTCCAGCAACCCCCCCCTCTCCCTGTCTGTCTGTCTGTCTGTCTGCCTGAGCGCTGGGCTGCGGAGAAAAAAGAAATCCGATCCTGTGTCTCGCTACAGAAAGGGGGGTGTGAAGCCATCAGACGCAGTTAAATTGAAAACTCTTGTGGAAGTACTACAACACAGCGGAGCTCTGAGTTTGACATGAAAAAGGTAAGGGATTGTAGGCAGTAAAGTGGACCGGCGGCGAGATACATTTTCTGTTAACTCGTGAATCATTAAGATATAGCCTTGAATTAGAAGTGAGGAAGAACTTGCGCTTGGCTCTTTTGGGAAGGAAATACGACTTGTTAGTAGCTGTGTGATGTTTTTTGTAACTGAAGACATCGGATACTGGCCATAAACTTTCGGTACAGTTTTTTTCCCCTCATAAATGAAAAAAGTTGTAGTAGTCCATTGAACTTTTAAGCATTGCTGTATAATCAGTTTCTTATGGGAAGTGTAATATGCGCTGTAACTTAAAAAAAAACCAAAACAACTAATTTATCTCAGGTTTAGGCTATTTCTGGTTATTAACACCTAGTTTACATATTACTGGGAATGCCATGTAAGTGATTGGTCATGTATTCAGATAATAACCAAAGTTTTGCCAATTCTCTGATGCTGTTTGCACAAATATGATCACTGTTTTGGCCATGATATTAATCACTGATGGGATTTGCACCTGTGTGTTACTTGATATTCAGTCTAGCTCCAACTTGAGGTTTGATGTTTACAGTGAGGACACTTCATTTCAAACTCCACTGCTCTGGTATATTTAGGTAGCTCGTATCATAAAAATAAAATATCTAATAAAAATGTAATTGGGACCTGTGGTGGTATTCCCACCCACATTGACAACCTTGATAAAAAAGGCACTGAATATATAGCAAGTAGCTGTGTATGAGGTTGGTTGATTTCCCTGCCGCAGTGTATAAAGGAAGGTGATTTATGCTCATGTCAATAGTTGTGAAAGGACCGCTTGTTTAAAGGGTTGTCTGATAATACTTTCGTCATTGTTATAAATGTCACAAATATGTAAGGTGGCTGTTATATCAACCTCTTATAGTGCCATGTTCTGTCTTTCCTCTGCCAGTGTCAGGTTGATTAATGCACCAGAGTGGATGGTGACATTGATGTATTTCCTTGCAGGCATAACCAGCATCATCATTAAAGGGTATAGTTTTGCATATGTTTATAATTCAAATGGGGCCTGTAGTCCCTCTTTATATATCAAAATAATGATATGAACATGATAAAATAAACATATGCAGTTGAACTTGAGATGAGTTTATGTAAAAGGAACTCAAGGGTACCCTACAAAGAGTTAATTCAATTACTGTGAGGGTAGACTTTAAGTCTGTAAAATCAATGACAGATGCATATTATTCCTTTTTACTGAGGGAATGATCATGTTAGCTTTATAATCTGTGCCAGGAAAAACTGCATGCAGAATGAGCTCTATAGGAAAGCTTTAGAAGTGATTGATTTACGCATAATTATTGTGATTGGCACATGATTACATCAAATAATGTAGCTGCCTGGATCCATCACCTTATTAAATGAAGAAAGAGTCACGGTGGTGCCAGCTGTCTGAGAAACCTCCTGGAGGGACGTTGAATATCTTCCACCAGTCTGAGTTACATGAATTAGATGAATTATCTACCAGATGTGTCACCACAACCAGTTTTTCTCATTTAAAACACCCATCAGAGAATCTATGACTAAAGGTTTTTACTCTCTTAAAAAAAATAAAGATGCAGCTTTGATTTTCCTTTCATGAATTTTGAATCATGATGTAGTCACTATATGAAAACTTGATTGTATAGTATGTTTATAGACAGCAGTCAAAAGATGTCATTTTTGGAAGCCATAAATTGTTAAAATGGTCTATTAAGGCTTGAAGCTGCAGTATTGCACAAATTAACTACAGAGAGAAACCAAAGGCATGTTGGAAGCTCAAGCAGGGAGTTTTCTCAGTGGTGGAGGAATGCTCAGGGAGGGACTACTGCAGATGGCAGAGGAAATAGCTCCACTGCCTGGAATGGAGATCTTAAGCTCAGAAAACAAACTTGTCAGTTTTAACATAGACATGTCTTATCTCATGATTTCAAGACCATCAGCAAAAGTGCAACTCCAGTGTCTGACATGATTGACAACAATTTATTTTGGCTCTGTAGACGTTGATCTAGACCTTTTTATTAACTTAAGTCAACAGACTTTAATGTCTTTCCTATTAAAATGTTTATTTGAAATGGTTCTCCGCCTACGTCTGTTAGTTCTTTGTCTGCAGCTCCGATCTGCTGAGTCAAGTGTCCACAAAGCCGAATTTTTCTTGCTTTGATTGGTTGGAATAAAAAGTACTGTAAAGAACAATCAAAACCATATGGTGCAGAAACAATTATGTGGGTTTTAAAGAGAATATTAAATCCTGGACTAGTTAAAAATTTGTCCTTGCTGGTTCTCTCTATTTGTACATAAAAGCGGTGTGGTGAGCTTTAATTAGATGTTGAGGGAGTTGTCTTTGTTTGAACAGTAGATGTAGCACATTGCCAAAGTGAGGGTCTCTTTTATTATTAATCAAACAAACATCTCTGTTATAAAAGACCAAATCCCTTGTTTCTCTCATTGATCAGGCTGTCCTATTTCTCTCCCTGTCTCTTTCACTCCAGATCTGACCCGGAGTGCCAGTTTATCAGAGAAGGAGCTAAAGGAGGCCCGTGTCAGGAGTCAGATCATTGCTGCTCAGCTCACCATCCCTTCGAACTCCAGCTCCAGAGGCGTGCAGCTCTTCAACCGGCGCAAGCAGAGGGTCAACGCCTTCACGCTTAAAAGCTGTGGAGAAGGGTCAGAGGAGGACAGAGCTGAGAATGTGAAAACCGACCCCTCGTCTAACAAACTAACATGGGCAGAGAGGAGCAGTGAGGAGAAGGATAGAGACCTGAACTTTAAAAATAGCACTACCAAGCCACTCTTGTCACCACCTAGGAGGGTACATTCAGTAGGTGATACCACGGAGGACCCAGGTAAGGATTTCCACAAGGAAGAGGACATGGAGGACCGTGTTATCCAAGAAAGACATTTCCTCCCTGTCAAGGAAGAGCAGGAGGAAGAGGAAGAGGCTAGAGATAAAATCCACGAGGAGCTTGAGGACAAAATAAAGGATGAGATTCCCCCTGGAAGTAATAATACTGATCCAGTTCTTATTGGACATGCTGAAGAAGAAGCAGAGATGAATGGGGGCCTCACTGGACCAGTTCCCCCAGGAAAGCACCACAATAGCTGCCACAGTACCTCTGGACCCGAGAGGGCTTCTGTGTCTACATCCAAGCAGACAAGCACTATCATCAATCGAACTGCCAGGCCCTTTTTCTCACCGCTGACAGTGCAGTCTCCAGAGGCAGTCTGCCCTGTCACGGAAATACCCCCTGCTCCCTCTTACGCCACTCCTCCTCTCCCTGCTTTCACTGCTCCCCAACCTGCAGCGTTCTCACCTCCACCACCTCCGTCTTATCCCACACCTTCTCTACCGGCCTTTACAAATCAACGCCCACAAACCTACTACTCCAGTCCACCTCCGATGTCTCCTGTCATGTCCCCTTCCTCTCCTCCACCTTCCCAGTTCCCTGTTTCTTCTGTATCTCAATACCCACCTATGCCCCATTATGGCCCTCCAACAGCCCCTAAGCCCTCTACCTTTGTTCCTCAGCCTGCTGGAGAGAGGAAATCGATACAACCAATCAAAACAGGAATACTCGAGGAGGGCGCTGCTAGAAGGGCAAACAGGAAGGCAATGTTCACCTTCAAAGAGAAGCCAGTGGTAGCTCCAAACCCTGAGTTGCTCTCTCTGGTGCAGGGGGCGGATGAAAGGAAGAAACACGGACATAGATCTGTGCCTGAGCCAACATCCGAGGAAGAGTTACTGGCGCTGGGTGCAGAGGCCTCCAACTTCCTTGCCAAGGAAGAGGACACAGCTGAGGAGGCAAGAGCTCCAGAGTGGGCTTCTTGCCTGAAGAGCTCCAGGACCCGACCAAGGGCAGAACACAAGCCAGAGCAAACACTCTCCAATGTATCAGGAAAGGGGGCTGAGCTGTTTGCCAAGCGTCAGTCCAGGATGGAGAAATACGTCGTTGAGAAACAAAATGCAGGACAAATTAGATCTCCTTCTCCCACGATGTCCCTGCCTCCATCTTGGGTGTACCCATCAAACATGCCTGGCAGGGTCAAGGCCATTGCTAAAAACTCTGACATGAGTGCTCAGCTTTCACAAAACATAAAGGCCCAACAAGCAGTCAAGCAAAAACCAAGACAAAAAGCTCCTGCACCAGAGCCAATTCCAGAGCCACCTCCTTTAGAAAACGGTTGCTCCAAGATAGAGATGGACCTGTCAAGGCACCGGCCCTACCAGCTTAACTCTTCTCTCTTCATCTTTAACCCAGCCAAGGATCCCATAAGTACCTTACCCAGAGGAGCACCGCAGTCTAGGAACCTGATGTCTACCCAGTCTTTCTCTAGACAGACTTCCTTACCTAATAACCCTCCTTCTCACTTCAGTACCCAGTGTATGTCTCCACAGCTGCCTCTCAGCCCCACAAGAGGAGGAGCAGAATATCCATCAAATTCAGCTTCTGGGCAGCTGAGGATCAGTTCTCCTATGTCTGCCTTTTCTCCAGAGCGGGTGTCCTCTCCTCGGTCAGGGGTGCAGGTGCCGAGGCCCACGTTTTCTGCCAAGAAGGCAGGGATTGCACCACAGGTGTGGAGACCCTCTCTGTACCATTTTTAGAAAATATGTTTACATCTTTTGTAGAGATTCCACACATGGTTGGAAAACTGATTTTAGAAGGGCTAAACTGTAAACTTTACTGCACTTTTTTGTTCAACTTGTGCCTTGTTCTAATACTACTAATACTATCTCTTGCATTGTAGGTAACAGAGTAGAATCTTTTTACGTGTGAAGATATGTTTTAATCATATAACAATTGATTTACAAGAAAAGCAATAATAATTGCTGCTATGGCCAGACCTCGTCTGTATCTTAAAATTAGAAGTGAATACATTATAATTGATCCTTGAATATATAATAGTATTTTTGTCACAGTAACAAAGTCCCAGCAGCAGTGATTAAAACAAAAGAGTGCCTTGATGTAATCAGTTCCATACCCAAAGCCGCTAAGCACATCAGCACTAAAAACCTTAAATTTTTAGTGCGTTTTAAAATATGATGAGAAACAATCTCACACTTTTTCCACTTTGTCTCCCAATTCTGTGGGCACCAGGGTGATGCTGCTTTACAAAGCACTTTAACAGATGGTCTGGCATCTGTTGTATGATCTATGATTTGCAATTTAATGCTGCTCACTGACGAGAGCGAGAGAACTCCTTTTATGTCTTTATGTCTTCAGGGTAAATTACTCTGCTTTCCAGCATTTTCTACCTAAATATATGGTTCTTGGATTCTTTGATGTTTCAAATCTGCTGGCTGCATGCTAATTTGCATCATGGACCTACATATATATTGTTTCCGTGACTTAAAACAGTAATTCCAGAAGTATTTTTGTCACAAAACATCATCAATCACTGTTGTTTTAGACTACAGGTTTATGTATGTGTCATTTCATAAACCTTTATTGACTGCTCTCTTCTGCTGTTATTCTGTCTGTTATGACTGATTTTTTGTGTTCAAAAGCCTTTTCTGATTAAAGCTTTATGCTAACACTCTGCTGTGACCTCTTCCTCCTTTTTCTTATTTCCTGACTTCACAGGCTTCTTTCAGCCGTTCATTTTACTGTTAAGTGTTTGTTATTTCACTTTTCTGCCCTTCTTGCTATCACTGCAGACACTTGAACACACTAATAAATGCCATGCCTCCATTAAGAAAACAGATAATTTACCATCAGAGACTATTTTGGAACACAGTATGTGACATTTAAAGTCTGAAAGTAATTATTATTATCAGCTTGCCATTGCAAAATGTTTCACTCTTAAGAATTTGAGTTATGTGTCTTTGTGTTAAGACCTGACCCATGGTCTTGTTGGTCTTGTGTGGCTCAGATATTTAGACAAATGGAATGACCCTTGACCCTGGGCCTTGTTTCTTTCTTTCTTAACTTTGGAAATGTGACCGGTAACATTCATCTTCTTCAAACATAACTTGTCTGTAAGCTCTAGCTGTTCTGTATATAACACTGAAGACGGCCTTTATATTATTATCACGAGTGGAGATAGTTAGCTCTTAATTACTATGTTCATAAGATGGAATGCTACCCTTGCTTTAGTTGAGTAACTTCATATCCCTGTAAAGGTTAACCAACTCAGGAAGGCCAGATGACAGTAACCTGAGAGAGACACTAAAGACCAGGCCTATGTGCACTGGTAGTGAGGAAACACAGGCAGAAGAAGGGAATAGAGATTACCTGAATGCTACTTCAGCTCAGACTGAACACATAAATATTATTTTATCAAAACAGATTCACTTAGTATAAGTAAAACGTGTCTTATTTAACGAGATTAGGATCTGTTCAGTTGTACAGTAAAATACTGGTCTTATGCAGAAAGAAAAAATGTCATTGTCAACTCAAACTATTTATATAATAGTAAATGTAATAATTCAAAAGTTGCACAAGCATTATACTACAATTTCCTATCGTGCATGTGTTTGTGTTATATTTTTGTGTATATATGTCCAATAAAAAGTATTTTATTTGTCATGGTCCAACAGACACCTAAGGACTGTTCCCCAGTTGAAACCCCCAGTGAGACTCCCACACCAACCAGGACACCCAGCCTCACCAGACGTTTCAGCAGTCCAGAGGGCCCCAGCACTGGAACCTGGACTCCAAGCCTCCAAACCAATCGGCCCTCCACCACCATCTCTAGCCGCTCAGTTACTTCCCCCGTATCTTCTCCCAGGGGTACAAGATGCCAGTCCCCTATGGCCTGTCAGAATATCCAATTATCTGCTGTTACCTCCACTACAACATCCAGACCCTCCCAAACATCTACAGCCAACTCTTCACACTCTCCTTGGGGTTCAAGATGTCAGTCCCCAGTGGTGAGCCAGAATACCCAGTCCTCCTGCAGCTCTTCTATTCCTGGTTTCAGACCTTCCCAAACATCTACGACTACTTCTCCTTTTTCTCCTCCTTGGGGTTCAAGATGCCAGTCCCCATTGGTAAGCCAGCATACTCAGTCTTCCACTGTCACCTCCATGTACACATCCAGACCCTCCCAAACCTCCACAGCCACATCCCCACGCTCTCCTCCTTGGGGATCAAGATGCCAGTCCCCAAAGGTAAGCCAGAATACTTCCAGTGTCATTTCCACACCCAGACCAACCCAAACATATACAGCCACATCTCCAGTCTCTCCTCCTTGGGGCTCACGTTCCCAGTCTCCTGCACTCTCTCAGACCAGTTTATCATTCCAACCCACTAAATCTCTGCACACATCCTCTGCAACCTCTCCGGTTTCCCCACCCAAAGACAGTCGCTGCATGTCCCCCATTGTTAATAACCTAGACTCTAAAGCCAACCATCGCCTACTGGCCAAGAACATCATCAATGCAGCCAAACGTAAAAACAGCCCCTCACCTGGAGCACTGAGTGGGCACAGCCTCCCCATCTCACCTCTGGGCAATTCCCACCATGGCTATGACTGTCACAAACCACCCATGAGTCCTTTCCAGTCACGGGCATTGGGAGCTCAGTCCCCTGTCTTCACCAGCCCTCCTGCCACCCCAACACAGAGGATCTGTTCCCCTGTGAGGCTGTACAACACTCGCTCCCTCACCGACTCTGATGCTTCTGTTGAGTCTGAAGACTCAGGCCTCCGATCTCCTGGTCTACACTCCTACAACACCTGCCCCCGTGGGTGGGGCGGTAGCCTAAGGGTGAAGAGAAGCACCGTCTCCACTGACCTGTGAGGGTGTTACTGGGTGGCGATTAAGAGATTATTTCAGTTTTCATGGACTTTTGTGGCATTGGGTCAACCAGTAAAAGAGTTTCTGATGATATTTCAGAATAATATTAGATAAGTTACCTTTCTGTAACTTTGAATAGGATCCTGGACAATAATACATGTTGTATCAAGGTAGTATTAGTATTTTATATGACTTACATTCAGAATATGTATGACTGACAAGAACAAGCTTTTAATATAACGCAGTTGCTGTGGCTTGTATGCTTCTTACATACCAAAAAGTGCAAAGACTCAAAATAACCAAAGATATTTGAATTCACTTCAATGAATGTTACTTATAATTTTTTTCACCTTCACAGCCACTTTTATAGTTGAGTAGTAGTTTATGTTTACTGGGCTGACGTGAGTCAAAATGGGAAGAGACTTAAACATTTTAAGGCATAGAAGGGACACATTGAATGAGTAATGTGTAAATATATCGCTCGTTGGACTGTACAGTACTTTGGTTAAGGAGTTCTCAGCGTACTCTATTAGTGAAGCATCAAATTTAACTATTCATTGAATGCTGATTTAGAACGTACTGGATAAAATGAGTTTCCATAAAAAAACACAGTGGTAGGTGGGACACGTGCTATACACATTATCATACATGGTCAATTATTCACAACAGTTTATTATGCATTTTAATCAATGCGAAATAAATCATATGCATAATTATCGCAGTGCAATAATCACAGTGTATATATGTTGCTTTATGTACTGCATTTGCTAAAATGAATGTAAGCTTTACAGACAGATTGACAGAGAATGACAAAGTGAGCGTTGAGTATGAAGAGTTACGTGGAGGTTCAATGGGGCATTGATGCACCTGTTCAATCAAACACTGTTTCCATGTTTCAGGAAAAAAAAAATTAAAATGTTTCAAAACATTTAATGATAGATGAAGAACAATTTAATGAACACATATTAGCTATTAACAATTTAATGGCATATTGATTGTATTATTCATATTGGAGATGGATATGTATGTCTAAGTTTTGTTGCTTTTCCTGAAAGAAGAGCACAAACTCTAAGTAAGTCTTTTTTATATCAATAATGTCTTTAAATAGAAAAGTGCCTGTACTTATTGTAAAGTGGCTGTTTGGATGAGGTTTAGAAGCAAATGCATGTGTCACACAAGTAGAGAAGGTACAACAAAATGTTGTTAAACTGTCATGGGGAAAAGAGGTTAGACGAATGTTGTATGTTGTAAAAGTGTTTGTGAGAAAAGGATCAGAGGAATGGATTGTATTTTAAATACATAACTCTAATGTACATTCTCTTTAACTTCTAAAGTTTCTTTTTATACTTGATTTGCACTTCTGTTCATTCAATTTCAGTAGCTAAGTTGGCATTGTTTAAAACTTGATTTGCTTAAACAGGTGTAACTCACAATAAAACCAGCGAATACCTTTCCTGCTGTAAAGTTAATAACATTCCTACACTATTCAACACCTTCACTCAATGGTGGGAATTAACTGTAAACCCGACTGCGGCGTTCAAACCACAACTGGCATCTTGTTTCAAGTGTGGGATTATTGAAAGCACGTTTACACCATTCCCATCTTTCCCAGACCTGTACCAGCACACACAACAGATCATTCCTTCAGTCCCTGGCTCCAGGCCAAAAGCATCAGCACATTTCTAAATATTAACTTATGTGTGTCTTTTGAGTGACAGGGACACCTGCTACATGGTAACCTGCCTCCTTCAGCAGGATTAAACCTATCACTGTCATGGATTGGTTTCAACCTAGGTCACTTCTGGACAAACCAAACATTGCTGACACCCTCAAACACAGAAAATAATCAGTGCAAGTTTGAGTTTGGGTGTTTCTGTGATTGCATGCCCGTAATTTTCCAATACAGCTGAAATTTCTCTCATTTCATAACTGTATCATGTCTGAAAATGAATGCAGAAATAAAAACACACACCAATTTAAAGAATGTTTGGTATGTCACTTGTTTTATTATCATACTTTGAACTGAAAATAGCAGTTTAATTACACACTACACACTACACACTATACTACACCTTTTTTAATATACCACAATAAAACATTATGAGGGTATGCCATAGGATGCACATCAATTCATATACAACACATTTATCCACACACGTATACTTTTAAATCAGTCATGAATATTTAATTGATTTACTCTAAGTAAATTAGTACGGTCCTGCCAAAGGATCTCAAGAAGCGATCAGGCACACAGGCGGTTGGCAGGTCAAAGATATAAGCTTGATCTTGACCTTTCAAGGCTTTAAAAACAAGCAGTAACATCTTAAAATTAATTCTAAAACTGGCAGATAACGAGTGAAGGGCAGCAAGGGTTGATGTGGTATCGTCACTTCTCTTGCAGTGTTTTGTATAAGTTGAAGTCAACAAGTATCAGTTTTGCCTGCTGATACCAGAATAAAGTGCGTTCTCTGGAGGAGGCAACAGCAAGGATGACCTTTTCTATATTTGTAAATGAAAGGAATGACCTTATCTTGGTTAAATGTCTCCCCACTTTAGTCACCTGAGCAAGAAAAAGTACAACTAGGTTACAGACCTCTTCTTTGACATTATTCAATAAGCAGTCCCACAAAGATTTTGTGGTATTTTGGGATTGTTGCGGCCTAAAATGCCTGATTTCAAAGGCACTTCTCTTAAACATTGTAATGCATGTTGCAATGATTTTAGGTCTTTAATTAAATAAATGAAATACAATTGCTGGAAAAAGTGAAAATTGTTGTTATTTTCTTTTTTTTAATCTTTATCCAGTAAGAATAAAATTGCAAGTAGTTTTTCAACATTTTACATCAGGGACTGATTGTTGAAAGTCACAGAAAACTACAATGATGGTCATATTTGCAGAAAAGTTAGACAAAATCGCAAGGTTGAGGAGAATTCAGAGTGATTGGTTGAATTTGTATTAAATGTGCAACATCCACAAAGTTGGAATAAACAAACTGGATAAAGAACCCCATAAGGGGTAATTATAATAATTTCTGATTTGTAGTCATTCAACAGTAGCAAATGTTTGCTCATCCAATTCTTAATTTCAGTGAAGTACAACATAATACAGCATACACTGGTAATACCAGGCTTTATTGAACATATAGTTGTGTATCTTTTTATGTAGCGATGGAAATCTTATATTTTTATTATCATGCCATGCACGATTTGCCCCAGTGATAGCATGTATATAGTAAACAGGAGGGGACACAGAATAGACCCCTGGGGGACCCCACAAAAGAGAGGGGCACAATGTAATACATTTATTACACTTTATATAGTTGTATATATTTTTATTATATTTTATTTTATTATTTCTCTGCATTGGCAGCAAGCAGTAAGTCATTGGTGACCTTCACCAGAGTGGTCTCAGAGCTGTGTAGAGAACGAAAACCAGTCCACCATGTTTCTACAGTAGCCCAGAACGGACAAACCAAACACTGGCTGTAGACAGGACCTTTTGTGTTGTTAGTAAGTTTTGCAGCCACCACAGTTTCTCCTAAAACACTTCACAGCCCGTTCCCATTGCAGAGTCATCGAATTGACCACTAGATGCCACTAAATCCAACACACTGGTCCTTTAAAGCCCCTCTGTTAAAATTGTAAGCCAAGAAAATGTAGATAATTTGATGTCTCTTAATCTCAAACTTCTTAGATTTCTATTATTACAACATACTAACTAGATAATAATAAATTTAGTAGTATTAGTCAATTATTTACATGCAATCCTCTACAAAGGTAGGCCCCCTGGTTTTCATGCCCTTTGAAAATGCTCACAAGTTTGTCAGTACAGGCACATGTACAGGACCAACCACCACATTTGTAGACATATTTCTTTGGTTTCGCAGTCTAATGTTATGCTTCACTGTCAGTGCAACATACCACATATTTGTGGTGATAGTTAGGGGAACTGAAATATCCCCAACAGCAACCCCTCGGGGTGAAAAGCAAAGCAAAGCCATTTATCACAGGTTCATAGAGTGCCATCTGTAGGACTCCAGACAGAAGTTCAAATGAAGCAGCACTGTTGGAGCTGATTGTGTACACGCAACTGTTTCCTAAAATAAACATTATATCTTATATCTCATGGCCTCCATTTACTTTAATAATTTATCAAAGCATTAAAATTAGGCAATATTGCGGAAAATAATACAGAAACACTTTAATATCCCTTTATCAAAGTAGGAATAAATGTAATTCCTAACACACATTTTAACACAGCAGGAAAAGCAGAAGCGTAATTAATAAAATGAATGACGACTGCATTTACTCATTCTCAGGTAAGACGCATGTTGGTGGAATAATTGTTAATCTTATTACTATGCTCCTGTGCTTTTTCTGCTACGACAAAATGCCTATTGTGAAACAGTCGGATACTCTCCCAGTGTCAGAGTCATGACATTAATCATACTTGTATAGCAGTCTTTCATTTCCAGCCACAACACGGTGAGCAGTGTGACACACCATGATTACGACTTATGTTAATGTGGCATCAGCCGTTGCCCTGAGAGAGAGAAAAAAGATGATATATGTGTTAGATATCACACCATTCAACCCAAAAAATGTGAAAGGCTTGCAGGAGAACTGCAAATAAGGTGGTATATAGTCAGCAGCTCTACACAGGGTTTGGGAGCCTTTATTCAAAAGCCGAGCAGTTTCAACCTCCACTACTCATCTCATTGTATTGGGGTTTTTTTTAAACTTAAGATAAAGAAAATGCTTTATTATTAGTTCATTCGCTCTGGGTGGGAATACAATATGCTCTCTGAACCATGTAAATAAAATACTGTTGTTTATCCTCAGTTTTGCATGAATTAAAGATAAACCTTTAACATCTGCTGCCTCATCTAACCAGAAATAAAGCACTGTGCTCATTTCAGTGGGTGTCAAAAAAAAAAAAGTCATATCTTGCTGTCCACCTATTAAAATAAAAAAAAAAAAAAGTGAAAACCCTCCATTGAGACACAAGAGGCCGCTCTTGAGGTGAAGAGGGCGAAAGCCAGCGCAGTGGTTTCCTCGTTTGACAGCAGGGGCTCGTTTTACTGCACAAAACAACAAGGATGAAGATTTCCAGCGACGATGCGGCAACAGAGATAACCGAGGAGAGGTTTAGGTAGCTCAAAGGACCGACAGCTCTTCTCTATATCTCCCGCTGTGCGCTGCGAAATCAACGCCGGGGCAACTTGAATATCGACCGGACTGCAGATGAATGCCTGAGTCTTAAACTGCCCCTCGGATTTGTTGTTGTTAGCCGCTAATGCTAACCATAGAAGTTGCGAGCTAGCAGGCTAGCTGGCCTAGCATGCTAATGGTTAAAGCGCTGAAAAGGCGTTTAGTTTAGCTTTAGCATTTAGCTTTAGCTCAGCTGTGTGTTTTGGTTTACTCAGTGCTGTCGGGCGAGTAAACTCGACTTTGTGTATGCTGATGGAGCCAGCTCACCGTGGCTTCAGTGGTTCAAGAGCTGCAGCTTTGGCTAAGCTTTTTAAAGTATCAAACCTTTAACATAAGTAGTTTCCTAACGTTAGCCTGCTAGTTAGCCACCACTACAACCCCCCCTTTGGAAGAATGAGTAGAAAACACAATCATTTAAAAGGAGCAGAAGTCAGCTGCTGCGTGAAGTACTTCTTATTTGGATTCAACATTTTATTCTGGGTGAGTAAAGTCTTTGAACCGGTTGCCGTCTCGAAACTAACTTTAAAGTCTCATTAAATGTGCTGCTAAAGTTAGCCTAACGTTAGCACCGTGGGTCTCGACCGACTTTGAATCTAAATAAACCTCCAGGTCTCAGTGATATGATCATTTAACTTAACTAGAAACGTGTTAAATTAGGTGCCATACGTTGTTGTTTGTTTGTTTGTTTGTTTGTTCTGCTTTGATTGTTGTTTCTTATGTGTGGTAACTTGCATAACAGAGACGCTTGTTTACTTGTTTTTTTTTTCCCAGAGAAAATTCACATATAATATTTGTTGTAGGAGAGTAGTCAAGAAGTGCTATAAATCTTTAAAAGTAGCAATAAAGTTATAATTCTTGTCATGGCTTTAGAATATTAAATGTCCCTTCTTTTAGCTTCTTATTCTTTATTGTCAGCTGCTACTTTTCTTTCATAAAACTGATTGTTAATAGTGGTGAGTAAGTCACAGATATCACTTTAAATAAATACTATATTGGCTAACTAAAGGGGAGTTCTGGTGATGGTTTCTTTGTCTGTAAGAGTAACCGGTGGAAGATGCAAACTAACATAGTTAAAAACCCTGGCTGATGTAATTTGCTCTCTCCAAGGATTGGTACCATTGTGTTTTGAGTTTGAGAAATGGCAGTCTCATCTGTATTGTTAGGCCAGCGGCAAGTGAGCCCCTTACAATGCCCCCATCCATCTTTACCCCCGCACCCCCCCAGTCTGAAAAGTTCCTCTGTTCAGTCTGCTTCACCCCTCCCTCCTCGCCCGTCTGCGTCGCCTCTGTGCGGCTGGTGTACTATAATGTCTGTGGGTGAAGGAATGGCGTGTCTGCGTGCCCCAGAGGGTCTTCTCACACACTGATGGAGGGAAAAAGGCCACACGGGCCTGAATACCACCCAGCCCTCCTCTTGTCAAGCACCCCTTTCACTCCCTCCACCACAATAGTGTTCGGGCTCTACGGGACAGCATTGTTTCTCTCACTCACACACCCACAAACGCACAAAGAGTGATGGTGATAACAAAGACTCGGGGGGGGGGGGGACGGACGACGGGTGTGATTCTGTGTTTTCTCCCCTCCTATGCTTGTTCTGATGGACTCATCAGGCACATGGGATCCACATGCAACTGGATCTCATCCCATTCCTCCTGCTTCTCTTCATTCCTCAACACTCCTCTTTAAAATGTAGGAGTATTGCACTATATCACCGTCATGTTTATTTTATTTTTGTGAAACTGAGGTGATATGAACTGCCAAACATGCGACAAACAATGCGCAAATACGTTTTACAATTGCCCTCACAAATGAAAAGTGCTCTATAATTCATTTTGGAGTGAGCAATCAAGCAGGAAGTATTGAGTCATAGCGCTAAAGTGTTGTGTGATTCGTATTGTGTTCTTTCAGGCTGTTTGACACTCAGGCCAAGCTAACAGTCCTGTTTCTGAGCCCTTTGCGAAACTGTGGAACAAGTTCCAGCTCGCTAGCTGTTTCGGTTAATAATCACTAGAAGATGTTCTCCTCTTGTCTCTGTGCTGTGAAACTGGATTTGACAGACAAGCCAATACATTGCTGAAATAGAGAGAGATGGGGTTTATTCTCCACAAATCAACCCATTTGTCTTTTCTATAGTGATCTTGTCAGGCTTGAAAATGCTGCCTAAAGTGAGACAGAATGCTTGTAAGGCCCTAAATATCGTGGACAAAATGGAGTAATAAAACCTAGTGCTCCTTTTCTGTGTGATTTCTTCCAGTGCACAAGCTTGTTGTTGACAGCCAGACATTCCCACCCGAGAACAACACACCTTCTCTCGTCCTCACAATATACTCATTCCTCACATCAACTTAATTAATCATATTTTCTGCCTGAGCTGCTGAAATGTTTGGGAGCTCTGCATGCTGTAATTAAGAGCTTGTTAAGCTGTAACCAAGTTGCTGAGGTAGTTGGGTGCAGGCAGTGTGTTATTAGCCAGCTACAGCTCTAAGTGTCTGCGCGCACATTTGGCACCAAAATTGGGTGATCACATCACAGGTGGACGACGGTAGAGAACCAGGTGTGAATGCATCGTTCAAGCTGCATTTACAGGTAGTCAGGGATTCATGTGTCCACACACTGTGTAAGTTAATGGTCGGTTTACGAGCAACAATTGCAAGCATTTTACTGGTTCCAGCCTCTCAAGTGTGAGGGTTTGATGCTTTTCTTTGTCGTGGGGGATAGTCGTCTGAATATATTTGGTTTTAGGATAATTTATCAGATAAAACAGGGAATTTTGAATATGTCACTTTATGCTCTGGGAAGTCAGAACATTTTCACTGTTTATTTCTTGACAAATTCACTTAATCAGCTTAATAAATAATGCAAATAATTGTTAGTTGTATACTACTTAAAACGTCCTAAACGCAGTTGTTGTCAAATAACATCTATTTAGCTTCGTTCCACTCTTACGTGTGAGAACAAATGCGTATGTTTTTCTGTTTTGTGGTAGCTGCTTCCCACAGATAAAATCAAATGTGAACACGGAGGCAAAGACCACTCACAGGGGGATTTTTCTTTTCTGATTCGTTCTGATACTCTGTCAAGTGCAGTCTGTCTCAGTTGGGTCTGCAAGATATCTGGATATATCTGGATACAAGATAATAGCTTAGAACAGGACCTAACCTTCTTTCGATTATAGCCTCAGCCCAGAGTTTTCATTGTCCATTCGAGTCAGATACATTTTGCCCCTGAAACTTGTTTTTAGTTACATGCTGTTGCAATTCATCAGCCAAATTGATAAATTGATTTTGCTGTATCGAGTGTAGAGGAGTGTGAATGCAAAATGCGTGGAAGTGTTTCCTTGCTGCACAATCAGATGAGCTGTTGGCAGTGCCGCTGATATCATATCATCAAGAATGGGTGTGTTCACACGGCCGGCCACATTAGAAATTCAGCTTTTTTAGGGAGTCATTGAAAGGTCAGTCACACTTGAGTAAGCCTATAGCCTGTGCATTTGTGTGTGTCCAGGCAGCGTGGAGCTTGGTTTGTCTGCTAGTTAGTTGAGGTTAATGGGATCAGCTGGCTTAGGGAGGCATCTTCTCAAGTGTTGATAATCTCTCTGTCCACATGGAGAGGAACCCCTTGCTCTGGGACACAAAGATCTTACAGCAGCACTTGAGAAAAAAACAACAACCTAACAGGCGGATTTGAATAACGAGGCCAATACAAGGACATCTAGTTCCAGACTGTGTTTATTTGCTCAGTGATAAAACGTAGAAGTACAGTGATAAGAGCACAGGCATTAGGTAGAATAATGAAAATATGCAGACGAAAATGGGGGGGAAACAAATCCTGAGGGACTTCTAAAACATCTTGTCTCCAAACAAACAGAATCAATAGGTATAAACTAAAGAAACAAGGACACAATACTCTGCTTTTATTGATTTATTCTTTATTATTATAGAAACCTGTGTATAATTTCCCCTTAGGTTTTATCTACTGCTCAGTAAAAAGCACAGAGTTTCAGGAGAACATTTTTGTCTAAGGGTGGCGTTGACAGACTTTAGCTCAGGTAGTGTATTCAATGCCATTGACGACCTGAATTTGACTCTGGCTGACCACATTACACTGTGGGAAAATTTAGATAAAAGGAAATAACACAAGGACTGTACAAAGGCAGGTTCAGTTCAGTTTCAATGTACTCATTCAGTCAAACTCACTTCAATCAAAACCATAGTCTCCCATGAGGGACGTTTGGTCAGCAAATATGGCTTTAAAAAGGCACATAATCCGGGTACAGGATGTGCTGACAGGCTTGCATGTTAGATAGTGTGTTGGGCCTTTACAGTAACAGATACTTCACAGTACAACTAAGTGAAACTTTGAGTTTGCAGTAGGTCAATTCTCTGCAATAGTGTGATTTTTAAAAAAGGAATTAAATACAGTTGAACTTGAACTTGTGCTTAAATTGGCTAAATTTAAATTGTGAGTTTAATATAATGATAAAGTTAATGAAACAAGTATTCGCCGACTGAGAAAGAGATTCAGAAATGGTAAGTCACAATGACAGGGTACCAGGCTTGGATACCTCGTAGCAGTCTCACTTAATGCTTCCTTCCAGGTCGCCTCAAGCTGTGGCAGGAGGAAATGCAACTTAACGTTCATTGAAGTACGTTTGACTGGAAATAATAAGAAAATTGGCCATATAACAAAAGTACTTTTCTGGTGTTTGGCTGGTGTTTTCTTTTAGAAGCACCAGAGTGAAGAAGCAATTTTTTCCCCGTTTCTGCTTTATTGGATTGTTCACAGCAGAGAGGAAATGGGAGAGATGGGAAAGGGATGTGTCCATATTTACTGAACCACCAGGGCCTCCGGTAATTGATGATTTGAGGGCTTCGACAGAAATAGTTGTATATTTATTTCAGGTTCTTATCATTTCCATGACATGTTGCATGATAAACAATACACAGTTTGACACAAGACACATCCTATGTATTTGTCCCTTGAATGTTGCATTTCTGCAGCTCTGGTAATACCAGAAATGTCTGCTGTATGGATACTTCTTGAAGTACTTGAAGGCAACACCAACACTACAATGGTCCCCCTCAAATCCAAGATATTCTTAATACTGTCTGGCCAGCGCACAAAATTGGCAACGGCCGAATGCGGGTAAAAAATGCTTGTAGCTGCCAAAAAACAATGGTGATCCATTGTGATACGTGAACATAAAATGTTGTCTCTGGTTAATTATGACAGTTTCAAATGAATCCCAAATGTAGCAATGGTATAAATTAAATCTAGTTAAGGAAAAAACAGTTTTTATGTGTACAGGATATTATCCATCAAAGTGTCATCAACTCTTTCTGGTTTCCTGTTGAGGGCAGAGCAATGGGAATAAGTCAGGAAGAACATCCCATGTGTCAGTGGGTAGGAATTTACTAGAGAAATGTCTATCTTCAGATAATAATCATAAAAGTTTGTTTTCTTTTTAGGCTGCAGTAAGCCGCATTAGTGAAACATCCTTAGTGAGACTGCTACAGATACTGTAGGGATTAAATCCTTAGTGCTGCACCAAATGTTCAAAATTCTGGCCACTTTGTTGCCCATTTGAGGGCAACTTCCTGGTGATGACCTCTGGGGATTTTCAGCTCTAAGGGCCACTCAAATGCCACATTCATTTTGGGCTGTGTGCAGCTGAATCATCTCATTTAGAAAGAAGGTGCAGCTTTAGTTTAGCCTTCTGGTTCTCTAAAGGATACTCCTTCACTGGCTGTGTCCTTTAGAAACTTCCAGACCCTGAATCGAAGAGTCAGAGTCAGAAAATGCGGCCAGAAAAGTTGCACCCTGTTATATAACACATACAGGTGTTGGGTTGTCCAGACACCAAAAAAAAGAGTACTTGTATCTTGTTTAGTGTTCAGTAAGTCATGACTCACTTTTAATGTGACTTATTGATCTCAAAGCAAAAAAAGGCTAACCTCTCCTGTTTTTATGGTCTCATGATATGTCCTTGGATCCAAACAGCATCTGTATTTTCATGCCTGCTTTTGTGTACTAGCACTGCTTAGCCAGTCTACTGGCCATTTTCTCCATCTATAGGAGGAAACTATTGCATTCTGCCACCTAATACTGGCACCAAATACAACTAAAGCTTGTTGCATACTGTATGTATGCTGCAGACAGGTCTTGCTAAGAAGATTTTCATATAGTAAATATGCATATTGGGTTTTTATTCTGTAGAGCAGTAGTCTACGAGGTATAATCAGGTATTTTGCAGAATACTGTGATGGCAGTGTGATCGCTGCAGCAGTGGTAAAAACACAGGAACAACATAATACCACAAAGGCTAACATACAAAAGCTTTTCTTCCCTTTTTCAAATCCAAATATTGAAAAATGTTCAGCTGTACCAGATGAGTCCTGTTATTGCCACATTTGCCACAGTTTTTAACAACTTTTTGATACAATGGAGAATGAATTAACTGTTGTCATGAATTTACATCGATTGCTGCAACAATCTAACTCTATCTGAAGCTAATCTTCATAGCGTCGCTTAAATAATATCCCGATTCTAATTTTCACAGTTAAGAATTATAGAAAAAAATCATAGGCAACATTTAAAGATTTTCTTTGGTTTAAGTTGACAATGGTTATTGAATTTGAATCTGTAATTCACCGTGATTAAGTGTTCAGAATTGATAATTATCCACAATATCTAGAAAACCATTCTGTAACATTATACTTTTAGATGGAGTTGTGTACTAGTGGTTTCACTGCTGCAGGGGAGAGTTGTTTTCTCTGCCACAGCTTTTCTTGCTCTCTTATTTATCTGTGTGGAATATTTAGTCTCTGAGACTAAATGGTTTAATACTCTGCTCTGTCAGTGTAATCTCCAATACCTGATCTCCATGTGCTTACCTCGACTCTGCCTGCGTGTCACTTTCCAGCTGAAGCACCACACCCTTCACTACTACCTCTTGTGTAACTGCCAGGGCCAACCCTGTAGCAATCCCTCACAGTTGCTTTGGTTGTTTGGGTATACCGTCACATTGTTGGTCTTGTTATGTGCGCTGACGTATTGCCATCAGTTTACCTGCTTCACCCAATTTAATCAGCTTCCCGACAATATGATTTTTCCCAATTTCAATGGGGCTATTATATATCAGGCTCTGCCATTATAGTGTTCCTCAGTTAAGTTCATTACCATCCCAAATCTCTTAGGAATGACATTTTGTGGCAGCTAAGCAGTTGATTAGAAAATCACATTATACGAGTGAAACCACACTACCCAGAAATGTGTGATTCTTACTGAAATGCAGTCTGATTAGATTAGTCCTGAAGACTTACTGTTATGTTGTTAAATGTTCTTTATCTTTACATATTGTCGTCCAGTACTGTGGCCATCTCAAGCATTCACCCAGTGGTTTTTCAAAGTTCTTTTCTCGTTTTTGGCATGTTTTAAACTGTGTGCCCTACATTCATCCTTCATGGGACGGGAGGCTAATACCAAAGGGATTTTCCTTAACTCTCAGGATATCAGATCCTCCAACCTCTTAAACGGCCCAGTGCAGTGACTTTAACCTGCAATAACCTGCAGATGTAATGAGTCACTCTATCGACAGCAAGTTAAAAGGTATATTCTCAGAATTTGCTTTTAAAAAAAAAAAGCTCTAAAAGCCAATTTTCTCAATTTGATTATTTCTATTAGTGATGCGGTTCTACGTGAATGCACAATTATCTGCCCGTTTGAGACGAATACTGTTTTTTTTTTTTGGGGAGATTTCTGTATGTGTGTCTTGACTGTGCTCTTCTTGTTTAGTGTGGGTGAGGCTGTGTGGGGAAAAGGTGATTTCATACATTACTATGGATCAGTGTGAAGATAGTTGTTGGGTTGTTTGCATATGTTGCCAGGGGAGACACTACTGTAAATCATATGTGATAAAACCACACCCACGAAGTCCCGGTATAAGTCTTTGTTGTCTTAAACTTCTATTAATTTGTCGAGGTTTAACTTTGATGCTCATTGAGTCTCAAATATGTAATTTCTTCATCTTGTTAGTGTTTCTTGAAAAGAGGACACTGAATCCTCTTCTCTGTGCTTCTCTGTGCTTTGTTTTACAGTTACTAGGAGCAGCATTCTTGGGCATAGGCCTGTGGGCATGGGCGGAGAAGGTAAGTATAAACACATGCACACAAACACACACTGTTGAAGTACAATGTGATTGCCTCAACAGCATAGCTAAATTTGTTTTGCATATTCCAGCGGGAATAAGCTTTAAGTACAATTTGCAGAAGAGAGGTCAGATGAAAGCAGGGCTTTTATGAGGGCTTTTTTGAAACGCTTTATAGCACTATTAACTGATGATGGTCCTGGTAAACATGTCTTAGTCTCCTTAGGAGATGAAATATGTTGCTGCAGTGTGATTTGTGACTGTTAAAGTTTTGTTGAGCCAATATGTTTTTTCTAAAGAGTTGCAGAGTTTAACAGGCGCTAGAAATAGGCACAGCTACAAATATGGATCCATAAACAAAACTATGAACTCCTCCGACTCATAGCCACCAGGCATAAATCTATTTGTCCACGAACTCCTCAAATTCTGGTTACTGCTTACTTTCCACAGTATACTAGCCCCAAGGTCAGGTGCTGCCATTATCCTCTTGTGCAGTGGATCGTGGCCACGTTTAAAACTCCCTCCAAATCGAGTTAACAGTCAATTTGTTCATTAATTATCTAGAAGTTGTACCAGTCGGTTCAGTAAATGCTGCAACAGTGTGGAAGCATGTACTGATTAGTAACGTCTGGCCATGAACTCTGTGCAAATAGGCCTGTATTGGAGTACCTGGTGGAACAACGTGAATAATTTAAAGGGATTAGGTCCGATGATGAATAGCGGGTACTGGAAAGGCATAATGGTGAGTTTGAGTCTCAGTGACTAAGATGATTAGTTTCTGGCCTGCTGCGTTCAGCCAGTCTGGTTTATTGTTTCAGGGCCTTATGCTTAAATTCAAATGAAGGCACTTTATTCTTCACCAGTGCCATAAAAAACACAAGAATGCCGTTATGCCTCTGTCGTATAGTTGTCCCTTGGCTCAGTGCAGTGGGAGCTTAACTTAAGCAGTATGAGATTTCGGCATCCTGGGCTTTAGCTGCAAGTGTCTGACATGTGCACTATATGTGACAAGCAAATGGGATGTCAGAACTAAGAGATGGTGCCCACATTTACAGACGCTGGTGGGATCCCTTTCAAGATGGTGAGAAATACAGAAAGAGATGATGAGAGATTATGCGTGAACCAGAACGCACATTATATTCGAAAAGGTTTTGTACTTACAAACTGCACCTCCTTGCGATGTACTACCTTGTGACATCTTCCAGTGAGCTTGCTCTTTGGCGCCGAGGTGTCGTTCCTGTTTGAGAAATATGACAGCGTGAGGCATGGGACTGACAGGAAAACATGTCGGACACACTGTGGCCTCAGAGCTGTGAGGGCAGGATATGCAGAGAGGAAGGACATCTCTTTGTGAATGCTTGCCAGAGGCTCTGAACTGTGTCTGTTCTGATAAAAGTTATTTGTTTTATAGGCTGGACCGAGATCTGCTAGAGAGTGAAATTGTGTTGTAGATAAATTGATATATAACACCTTGGGAGTTGCTATTTGATTTAGAAGGCAACACACTTGATAGATACCATTCTAAACAGTATTGCCTTATAATAGATTTTTCTGCTATACTTCTCTATATATCTCTGAACAAGGCAACCCTGGCCTCTTGGCTGTATCATTAGTTAAATTGTCACTGTTTCTCTTTGACATCACAGGCTCTTGTCAAGGTTAACTGTGTGTTTTTGTAGAGTGCAGAATTTAGCTTTGACCTTGTAATAGAGATAGAAAGGATTATATTTGGAAGTACTATAGTCAGAATTTTAACCATTCTCTTTCATCTTTCCTCCTTTCCCTCAGGGCGTGCTGTCCAATCTGTCATCCATCACAGACCTAGGGGGTTTTGACCCCGTGTGGCTCTTCATTGTCGTTGGAGGGGTCATGTTCATCCTGGGCTTTGCTGGCTGTATCGGAGCGCTCAGAGAGAACACTTTCCTGCTTAAATTTGTAAGCCAGGCTCCAGACTTTCCGAGCACAGACACCATTTTAACCGTTTCACACCCCCTTAGATCTGCAGTTCGCACCAGAGATGAGGCTGTCGGTGCAGCAGGTGTCACAGGACTCGGTTGAGTCACCCAAGCCAAATGCTATGGGTGGTTACATGGCACAAATATGTGTTATCTCATCACTAAACCAAGTCCTGTTTCATCAGAGAATAATGATCAGAAACACTGATTTGTGACCCATAAGCCGTTTTCAAGCGTGTCAAATATTATTTTCTTAATCTGCTCCTTTTCGATTTTGTCTTTTTTATGTGTAAAAACAGCTAAGATTTCTTCTAAAGCCCAAAGCCACAAGAACACCATTTGGGGAGGTTTATTTGGGTTCAGCTGTATTGATAACAACATGTGACTGATGGAGACAAACTTGCCTTGTTGCTGGCTGCGATTCTGAGTAGCTATTAACTCCAGCCGATGTCCATTAGCAGCAGTAAGTCAGGCGTCAGAGTGAGGAGCTAATGTGGCTTTTGTGCATTTATCATCAGCCCTGTCTCCTCTCCTCCTACATTTACTGTAAAGGGATGATATAACGGTACCTCTGGGACTGCGGCTTTTGTTGCCACACTCTCACTCAGCAAATCAGGACAGGCCCAACAACCAGACCTGTACAGGGACATTACCTCAGAGCTGTTCCTTTTAATTCTTTCACGAGAAAATTTTTTTATTAGTGTTCTGATACATTACTAAACAGGATTTTCTTGGGGGCACTCCCTGATTCCCTGATTAAAGTGACAGATTTATTGTTTTCTGTTTGTGTGTTTGCGTCCGTTCACTCTTGTGTGTGTCATGTACTTGCAGTTTTCTGTGTTCCTGGGTTTGATCTTCTTCTTGGAGCTGACTGCAGGGATCCTTGCCTTCGTCTTTAAGGACTGGATCAAAGACCAGCTGAACTTCTTCATCAACAACAATGTCAAGGCCTACCGCGATGACATCGACTTGCAAAATCTCATTGACTTTGCCCAGGAATATGTGAGTCCACAACTACTGACTGACACTTGTGTGTTACTTCCTTGTAATGGTTCATGTTTCTTGGCTTGAAGAACTTACTCCCTTCTCTAGAAATGTTGCAACACTGATCTTGAGTCAGCTCAGTTCTGGGCAGAGAATGAGTCAGCCATTGCAATTGTGGTATAAATCTCACGATTAATGTGATTGTATTTCCCTCAAATCATTATCCAATTACATGAATGAAACAGTTTAGATAATTGGGTCCCGTGTGTAAACTCCGCTCTCTGTGATGACATACTGTAAAGGCGATTAGATCCGCTGTTTTCTCGCCCTTTGTGTCCCACTATCTGTAGCCACTACCCGCCACAGTAAGCTGGCTACCCACCCAAGCTGACCTGAGTCAGGCTCTAAAGAGTTGTTTCAGGACCAGATCAGAGAAAATAAATCTGTCTGTTAACCACAGTTGGCTGTTTAATCTCTCCCTGTTGTTGCTGCTGTCTCAGTGGTCATGCTGTGGAGCTCACGGGTCGGACGACTGGAACCTGAACATCTATTTTAACTGCACTGAGCTGAACCCCAGTAGGGAGCGCTGTGGAGTCCCCTTCTCCTGCTGTATCAAAGACCCTGCAGTGAGTCATTCAACAATAATAATGCATTATTAATTCTGCCTAATTTTCTAGTATAGAAAGAAAAATTCCAAATTTGCTGGTTTCAGCTACTCAAAGACGTCACCTTAGACTGGATATCTAATGGGCATTTTTCATGATTTTCTGACATTTTGGAGACAAAATTATTAATTGAGAAAATAATAGACAGATTACCCGATAATGAAAGTGATAGGCTACAGCCCCAATATAATTTGGACCTGCAGTATTTCTTTTAGCATCATTTTATTTCATGTTGAAAAAGAAAGTTACAAGATAGAGTACTATGTAATATTTTGCCTTTAATGACTCCCAATATCTAGCATTTCTTGTGTAGCCATACTGACCAGTGTTGATCAATTACTTGTTGTAAAGTTACTCTCAAAAGCAGCAACTAAGTTCTTAATTTATTTCTGCTCCTCTCAGATTTGAAAAGAGTCTTTCAACATCTCAGACACTGTGACCAGCAGCTGTGAGGATTTCAAATTTTTGTGTTGTTCTTGCAGGAGGATGTCATCAACACGCAGTGTGGTTATGATGTTCGGCTTCAAGGGGTTCGTATCTCTAGACATGTCTCTACCACTTCTGTATGTCTCTAAAATGTTACATAAACTTATATTTGTTTTACTATACTCTCCAGTTGTTTCTCCTTTCAAGACTGAGCTCACTGAAAATGAATGTTGTGTTTTATGATATTTTTTAAAATGAATCTATATCATCTAAAACATAATGAAACGATACCAGTTTAATGGAGCTAGTTCTCATTCACAGTGCAGTCTCCGGCAGTAGTTGAACATGATTGGCAGCCAGTGCCAGCCGTTCTGGTTAAAATGACGCAAAGCTGCTGAGTGGAATTACTCCTGAGAGCAAGTTGATTGACAAGCTGCAAACCAGTTTGATTGAAATGATCTAAGCAGTTGTTGAAGGGTGGAGTGGCAATCAGATTCATTTGTTTTGGGCTTGATTGGTTGTCTCAGTAAATAAAAAAATTGATTAATTAACAGTTGATAAAGAAATAGCTTTGAATGAAACCAGTCAAGTTAAGATTTCATAGCATCTTTCTTAACCTTCTTGATGAGGAAAAACAACACACAAAAACCATACCAACACAGCAGACAGAGAATATATAGGGTTAAATAGCACACAGGCTCCTCTGCATGCTTCTTGCCTTAATAACAGATTGTTCTTCTAACAGGGATAATTAGGCTCCAGTTATAGCCCAGAGAGCAGCCATACTACACTCTGTAATTGGCGACTCAGTGGGTTATGCCAGTCCGTTCCCTTTTCCTCTGAGTGTGGGTGTGGTGGTTACAACTCACTGCACTGCAGTCAGAAAGATTGCTGTTGCTAGGCGCACTGCAATACAGTGAACCACCTGCCACTGAGTTGGTATGAATTCATTTTCTCTGTGTGCTCTTCCGCTGTAACGCCCTGGCCATTGGCATTTTGTTATATATTAACTATCAGTGATGTGCAGAAAGTTCCTGTTCAGCTTGTTTGTGGAGGGCAGGCTGGGAAAGAGGAAGAGCAGGAGACATGGGGAGGACAGCAGTGCAACAAAGGCGGAGGGCTGAAATAGCTTCAGAGGAAGTTCACAGCCAGAACAACATAGTGTTTCCTGCTTTTTTATTGGCTGCCAAGGGGCTCCCCTTACCTCCCATTGGTTGAAAGCTAGCTTTCAGGTTTTGCAGGAGAACAAAGAGTTTGCCGGGTTGACTTGTCTCGTAGAGTAACAAAGAGAGCATTGTAAAGAGTGCTGTTCACACCCATTCTTACCCCCTATTTTAGTGTCTTTGCAGCTCTAAATTACACCTTTTTCTTTTCCGTCTCTGAATAGACCATGTGCGTTGCCTGAATCTGACAACACAAACAGCCATCTGTCCGGTAACAGGAAACAGCCTCTGCCTGTTTGTTCAGTCCCAACAGTGTCCTCCGAGAAACTGAATACACTGCCTTGATATTCTCCCTGTCATCCAGACACTGACACGTTGTAAACTAAGGGTGACTCAGCTCTCACTCACTCCTCATGCTCTCCTCAGCGGTGAAGGAGTCAGTGGACAAAATGCTATCTGTGTTGTTTGTTTTGCCCTATATTAGTCAGAATTCAGATGTTTATTTAAAATCATGTAAAAGTTCAATGTCCTCTCTGAGAACTGGTCTGATTTAAAAAAAAAAAAAAAAAAACATTTAGTCACATTTCATTTTAATTTACTTCTAAACTGTTTTTGTTTTTTAAAAAGGAGCTGGACCGGCAGAAATATATCTATACCAAGGGCTGTGTGGGACAGTTTGAGAAGTGGCTTCAGGACAACTTGATTATTGTAGCTGGGATCTTTGTTGGTATTGCACTTTTACAGGTAAGTCTCTGGCTTAGCAGACTTACTTTCTTTTACATTTACATGAGGAAAGCTAGTGCATTTCAAATAAGGTGTTTACCCTAAAACTAACAATATGCCTGGGTTCTGATTTTGTTTCATCACTGCCATCTAGTGGTGAGCATAGCATATAGCATCATGCAAACCTCTGCAATACAGCAGTCTGCTCTTTTTTTGTTTTTCATGCTGTATCCTGAGCTCAATATCTGTCCCCTGTGTCCTCTTCAGATTTTTGGTATCTGCCTTGCTCAAAACCTGGTTAGTGATGTTAAGGCTGTGAAAGCCAACTGGTGACAGGAGAGGTTGAGTGAGGGACAACCCCCCCCGTCCCTCACGGCCAGCCAAGTCAACACAGCACACTAACGGTCCCGTCCAGCTGAGGACGGAGCACCGACAGCATTCAACTCTACTTTGCCACTGAACTAAGCAGCACATACACTCTCCCACACTTGTATATGTGCGGACACCAAGAGTTTACTTCCCTGTTTATCAGTGACACTTGAAGGGAACAGACCCAAACAAACATACAAACAGTCAACACTTTGTTTACCACTCAGCTGGGTTTTTAACCCAAATATACAGAGGACGGTCCTGCCTTGTTCTTTTATTTCTTTTTGTTTTATTTTGTTCTTTGGACGCATGTATTTATGGGGCGCAGTTGCAAAAGGACTTCTGTCAACTGGGATTGGAAGCCATGGATGAAAGTGAGAGGATACACAAAAACCAAGGAAGAGGGACAATACGTCTCCTTTTTTTTTTTTTTTAGATCAAGCCAGAGCCTCTTTCTACTCAGTGAGGGGTTGAACATCTCCAACAAGCGGCCTGTTTTTAACTTGCTTATCCCCACTTTACTTCTGTAGAGGCCGGCTGGCCAACACACACACGGATTCTTCTGCGTGTCATTTTTCTCCATCGTGACCTTTTTATGACCACTGAAAAAGACTCGGGAACACTGGCTGGTCAAGCCTGCAACTTCAAATCATTTCAGGAGATTTAACATTATAAATCAAAATGTAAAAAGTGCCATTAATTTCCAGTGATATTTTTTTGTCTTCTTCCTGTTCTTTACATGGAATCTCTGCACCCCGCCCCTCAATACCTCAGGGCCTGGCTGAAAATACACACGTATACTTTCTGCCACCGGTTAAAAGCATATCTTTTTTTTTCCATCCATGTCTGTTGAATTTAGATACACTAACTTAATGTAGAAAAACAATGACAGTTCCTCGAAAGTTGCCCTGTTTGCCCTGCAGTGATTGTATTATCTGTTGATTTACTGAAGGATATTGTATTGTATTATATGGAAGGGCCTGGTGTGGTTAGGATTGTAGGTCTATGCTATACAGGGAAAAGGGTTTAATGTTAGTTGAGATTGTCTATCTCTGGGCTTCCCTCAGGCACATGGGATTGCTGGTTTGGGGCCTTTTTAACTTGACGTATGTTATCACATTTGTCTTATATTTTGTGCTCTGCATAGTGAAATAAGAATATTTGTCTGTTGTTTTTTTTTAAAGATGTCCTTTATTCATCCTTTATTTCCTGTCCTTTCATAGACACAGATTTTAATTCTGGGTTCATTGTTTGACTTTAGCAGGCACCTATTTTACCTCTGACCCATCAGTCAACTGCGAAATAGCTTCTTTTTGTTGCGTTATTAGCAGTCCTAATGGAGACCAAATAATATCAGCTGGCCACAAGCTAATTGCCAAGGTTTTGTCTGGCTACAATTCTGATTTTGTTAGGAATGCCAAGAATAACAAATAGCATTTCTAGATGGGCAAAATGTGAATCTATTGTCCCTTTTATGTGGGAAGTGCGAGTTAAAATGAAAAATCAAACAGAAATTAAAAATGTTACAGTATCGCCTTTATCTTTAATTCAATGTTTTGTCTTTTCGTTTGGACTGGTTTTTAAATAGAATAGTAAATACGTGCTGTTACCTTTTTGATATTAGCAACAGCCTCAATATAACATGAATGCTGCTTTAACTTTGACTAGATTAATATGTAGTACAGTAACCGAGCTAACAACACGTCTCACATGGTGGCATTTAAAGAATCTGCCATATTTTTATTGTTTTCCAGGCTAAGGGTAATATTCAGATTATTTGTTCTTTCTCAAGTTTACACTTTGTACTCCGCTTACCTTGCCATTTGTTCTTTAAAAAATCTTTTTACATTATGAGTTGCCCTCGCAGCTTTTCATCTCGTCCACGATCCTCACAGAATGTAGTGTCTGATATAACTGGGTTCACTTGATAATACTGCATATTTCTGCCTGCATTTAACCACTACAGTTGTTTCTGGTTGTAGCAGTATTATTAGGATACATAGCACAGGCAGGATTTGGGTGGGATTTACCCGACCACACACACACGGCTCCATATATAAACACACACACGGCCAAAAAAACATGGTTTGAATTGCAACGCACATGAGTTGAAAGATGAGTAGCATTAATATTCTGTGCACCAAAACTTTTCCTGCTTCACTGAGTCTGTCTCTAGAATATATATACATATATAGGAGCACATTCAGTAACAGCACCTTATGATCGTCTGGTGTGCGTACATGTCACATGTTGCTTTCACCCACACGCTCCCTCTTCAAAACAAAACCTGATCTGACTGCACCTGTTTCAAAGCCTGTCATTTTGATGTATTTTTAAACACGGCTCGTTTTGAAAAAAAGTAAAACGCAAGACGAAACAACAGTCAGTTGATTTAGGCGTCACGAATAGAATAGATCCAGTGGAGCACAATGCAGCTCTGCTGGAGTGATGGGAGTCTTAATGACTTCTCTCAGTTGAAATGGATGAGTTTGCATAGGAGAAGCTCATTCATTTTAGGGCTTAAGGTGTAATCACTGAGTAAGAGCCTCGAGCAATCTGAGAGAACAGATGTTTTTTTCCTTCGATCAAATGTAGAAACATTTACAGGATAAAACCCAACTTAGAGCTAAATTCTCACACAAAGTTGCCTGATGCAACATGATTTCTTTAGTTTCTCATCCTGTTATTGTAAATGTGTGTGGGCTTCTTTGATTTCACTAACTGTTGTAAATCAATCGGTACCACTAGAGTCTAGAAGATCAGGATCAAACCCCCCCCCAACACCTTTCTAGTTTTATCTCTCGAAAAGTGGGCTGAAGCATATAATATGTAATTAATTAGTTCAACAAATCTTTGAAGTGTTTCCATATTCTCAGATTGGAAGTCATTGCTCAGGGTCTTAACTCTTTCCCCCCCCCATTTACCCCCCCAAAAAAAAATGCTACCCCTATGCTTATGCATGCCGGAAGATTCTGTCTTGTATAAAATGGAGGGCCGCTGCCTTTTGAGTGATGCTGAGGATCTGGCTGAAGGCAGATGGAGGCCACGGGTGTCAGTTCTGCGGCAGTACAGAGCTGCAGCTCTTAAACAAAAAGCACTCCTGCTCTCTCTCTCTCTCTCTCTCTCTCTCTCTCTCTCTCTCTCTCTCTCTCTCTCTCTCTCTCTCTCTCTCTCTCTCTCTCTCTGCAGCCACCACTGTGTCTGGATGGATATGCCAATAATCAGACAGTCACCTTGGTAATAAGGACAATAATGCCCTAATAATCGGTAGTAGCAGTGGCAGGACTTTAATATGCAGACTCTCCAAAGGTGACTTACTGGAATATGTTTGTTTTAACAGCTTTGGGTGATTCTGGTTTTGTATTCCTTTTAATGTAGGGGGAAAGACGGAGGGAGACAACCATGCTAATTATGCTTTGTCCTTTTATCATAATGGCCTTGCATCATGAAACACCCTCTTAATTTCCCTGCTTTCCCTGTGGGCAGTTAAATCATTCCAGAGGAGGAGCCTTGTGCATACCATGAATGTATAAGTCCGTATCAGCGTGGACCGACAGCTCCATGCTCTGTTAGAAAATTTCTTGTTACTCTCACGAAGCGCAATGCACAAGACAAGTGAAGTTTAGGAATGTGAAATAAAGAGTTGTCTTAAGTGATTTCTTTTTTTTTTTTTTTAGATTTTTACATTTGTTTTAGTGCGCATGAAAGCAGAAGAGCATTCCATTTTATTGTGTTTCCAGGTGTGTTTGCAGACCTACATGGACATTTTATATACAGTCGCAGAGCTTTTCAATCATCAGAAACAACCAGTTTAATGGTCTTGATTCTTAATCTCTCCTCAGTAGCTGTAAACAATGTGGATGGTTCCTAAATATTAAAATCATTTGATATGTCTAGGTTATGATCATATTTTATTGATGTAAAACTTATTTTGCTACATATGCATATATGAATGATTTGGTCTTTATGCATACAATACAAAGTGACATTGTGACTCTGATAATCTGTCCTGTGATCCTTTTTCCTGCTTTGAAGTCTGCAAATGTCTTGAGGTAATTCTGTTGATATTTCTTACAAAGTTGAGCAGCACATCAGACATTCACAAGTCTTACCTCATCGTGTGCAGAGAAACGCCGGTCACATCAGAGCACATTGAAGCAGCATAATTGACTTGTTTTGTGCGCATATTAACAGCAATATCACAGTTGTTAGGACTGACTTTTCCATACCAGGTCAAGATATCTGAGCCAGACACAAACGTGATCTGACTGGAATGAAATAGTGCTTCAAGTTGAAGATGGTTTTTACAGATTGGCTCAGAGTTATATCAGAATATAGATGAAGTAGTTACACAGAAACCACTATAAATATCCGTTCGTTCAGCTGGACAACAGAAAAATTTCTCCTCAGTTTTTACTTTTACTTTACAGTATGTCAGTCTTTATTTGTGTGTGTCGACTGCGGCAGAATACAACAAACAACCATATTATCTGTCTGTTTTACAGTTTGGACCTGTCTACACGGATGGGTAGCCTTGTAAAGAGAAATGTTGTATATGAAAACTGTGGGACATGGTCTGTTACACTGTATATTGTGTTAAACTATGCCTCTTTCATATATTAAAGGATTTATGATAACAGAGGAGTGTTCTCTTGTTTTAACTCAAGCAATCATTGACAGTAAGTGCATTTACTATACTCTATAAAGAGCTGTATTTACAATTTGATGTAATTGTACTTGAATATTTTCTACTCCATTACATTTCAACGAGACCATTTGCATTTATTCTGCTTCATTTACTGTGTTTGACATTTGTGTGTGTGTGTGTATGTGTGTATATATATCACCACCTTGACCAGCTACTACATTAAAATGCTGCTTCCATGTTAATGCATCAGTAATAATAATCCAGTAATGATATGTATAATGATATATCAGAAAGAGTGACTTAAATAAATTTTGCTTATAATAGTTATGTACTTCATGTATGCAGGATTTTTACTTGCTATATAATATACATATATATATAGAATATGTTTTCAGATTTATACTAAAGATCTGAGTTCTTCCGCCACTGAACTCCGAGTAAAGACGTCAAGCAACCGTGCACTGGTTTCAGTTACACTGGAATGTTGTTTTTACAGTTTTCTTTGATCAGAATATGCTTTAATTTATCATATGATTGATGAGTCAACCAACAGAGGGAGACAAATAGTGACTGTATTCAGACACTGACACTCTTCTGCCATGACTTCCTCTATTAATCCTGTAAGGTAACAATGAAATGCAGAAAATGAAATAAAAGATTTGATAGACAAAGCAGGCAGAGCAGCAACAGCATTATATTGTATTATGTTCTTGCCGTTAGTGGCTTTTGTAGAGCAGCTTGAAGCTATTTAAATCCATTTTATCACCTGATATTACAGCTCTGTCTTAAGATGTTAGAATCAAAGAGAAGAACTCTTCACCAAAATTAATCCATCAACTTCAGAGGTTATTGACATTTTCTTTTACCATGTAGGATGAAACAAGCAGGATGCACAAAGTGGAGCCGTTTCCATGACAATGAACGAATGACTGAACGGACACAAGCTCCAGTGCTCTTATGGCCTTTATGTTACAGTTTATGGCCACGGGGAACTGCAGCAAATGATCATTTGTAAACCTAGCCACCCTTGAAAATTCATGAATTTAGTGTCGTACCTGTTTACATAAAGCATGCAGCTTCATGGCCGGAAGGACAGTTACTGCAACTGAGATTCCTCCTTTTTGATTTGATTTAAAGCAGCTGCTACCATGAGCTTTATCTGTCCAATAAATGTAACTGGCCTTGTGTTTTTATCTGCACAGGAAGCAACATGTACTGTAGGCAGCGACAATCTGCTTCCATTCATCCGCGCAGTAGTTCATCATCCAAAATTAAGGCCGTTTAATATTATTTCAAGGATGCAGATCAGTGATATCACTGCTGCATACACACTCCATTCCCCCTTATGAGTTAAGTTTATTCACCAGATTGTATCCTAGATCTGCAAGTCCACACCAGATGCTGATGCTGCTGCTTTCTTTCTTATTGTATTCTGCTACAAGAGGACAAACCGTGTTAATGCATCTGACCTCCTGACTTTAACAGTAGATACAGTAGATGTTGTTCTGCATTACACTGGTACCTCGTTGTTTTTTAAGTAGTTCACTTTAAAGACTGTTGGAGTGCCAGAAAACTCATAAATGAAGCCTGAATCCATGGTGGTTTGTAGATCTGTGAGATAGTGGTGAAGTCAGATTTGTGTGCTAAAAGAAAAGTGCCTTCTCTCTTGAGGGTGTAGTCTTATCTAAAGCATAGTTTAATTTTCATCACCTGATAATCTATTCTGTTTTGCGGCTGACTGAGCGCGTTGATGTATGAACAGAGTGTCAACAGCAGTTTGCTGTAACTATTTGGCTTTACAAATAAGTGATCTTGAATGCATTTCCATAAAAAAAACATGTAGGTTTTATCTCATTGTGAAATGTGCTCTTTTGTTTCCTTTTTTTAAATTTGTTTTTATTATTTTTCTCTCAAGACAGTTCAACAGCAGTAGTACAAAGGATCAATGATACATGAAATATACAGTCCTCTTATCCAGCCACATCCGATGCCTATCCACACCACACCACACCACACTAAACCCTGACCTCAACCCCTCTGGTCAAATAGATATATTTTTATAAAAGAGAAGTCCTAATAAATGTCTGCAATGCAGTAAGTAAATAAACAAAAGATCTATTTTGTCAAATAAGTAATCATGGAAGTAAAGATACACTGTAAAACCAGATAAGTTCATTTAACTAAAAAAATTGCTGAAATTGATTACATCAAATTGAAAAAGTAAAACTACCTACATTTTGTAAGTTAAAAAAAAACATTCTTGGTTAAGTAGCTTTAGTAATTTTTGTAATTTGTACTGTGAAAACAAAATACCTCGTAAAAGGTACTAATCAGGACTATTGCTGTGACTTAAAAAACTAAGTTAGCGCTACTTAAAACTACTTGTAAAAGCAACTTAATCAATAATCTAACAACCTATACATTTAGTTTGTGTTAGGTTTTGATGTAATTCAACTATGTTAAATGAACACATGTATAATACTAATATGTATATATAAAACACATGTACGTGCTATATACTGCACATACTGTAACATATAGTCCATGTATACATATAGTACAGTATAGTACCATATATCAAATAATGGCCTTTAATAATAAATACTATATGTGTTACACAAGCAGTACATTATTCATAAACAGACATCTAACCCACACGTATGTAAACACGCACTGGGTCTTCATAATATGTTCAGTTTTCTTCTCACTGGTCTGATTTTTGTTCCTTTAACGTTAACTAGAGAGCAGTCACATCCTTCAAGGCTGCTCCTTCAGAACTAAATACTACTCAAATATTTTCCTCTGTCTGATATCTACCGATGTGGTATGTGTTCCCATGAGATGCTGTTAGACAAAGATTTCTGTCTTCTCTAAGAATTTAAAATGTGAATGAAATGAAAGCAGGAAGCAGAATACATATAGGTCATGTTTTATTGCTATACAGCAACTGAACCACGTGACACCATGTCTGGCTGATCTCCTCAGGCACTGATCAACACTTTCTTCATTTAGTGGAAGGATTGCATATCAGACCTTTGTGTTGAGTTAGTGGATGTAACAAATGTGTATATTAAGAATTGGTCTTAGTAACTGCTTCTTACTGTAGGCTATGTGGTGGTGCATTATTCTTAACCAACCAGTATCATCCAGTTTCACCTCTGCAGGACCAGGACTTGCAATTCTGGATCTTCTGTTCTCGTCTAACTTGGGAAAGTAATGGAGGCAGTAGTTTTTTTCGTTTTTAAAGCTGCTGTTTGTGTCTGTGTCCCAT